TGTTCACTTTGAACAGCTTACATGAGCAACCAATTCGCCAGTATTTCTTGTCGTTTTTTCTCCACAGAATCACTAATTTGAACCGAATTGAGTGGAAAAACACTGAGTTTTTGGTGATTAAAAATCAAGAAAAAAATATTTTTTTAATGTAATTTCTTAACAATTCGCTTAAATATTAAATCACAAAATTTAAAACAGTACAAAGATTAGCTAAACTAATCGTGAATGAAATAAAAAGAAGCTTTTAATGAAGAAATATCGATGAATATTCACACATTTCTGCTTATTTTCTACTGATCGTCAAACTATTTTCCCACCACAATATCTCCCCCTTTGGCGCCCCCTTTGGGTGTCCTCAAAGGACTGCGTGAGGATGAATCGGAGTCTCGACAAACATCTGACTTCCAACTTTATTGACATCTCTCGCGATGTGTGATTGAGTGCGGCCTAATTGCGCCTCTCCGTCATCGCGTTGACACCGCGGCTCCACCCACTCGGGCGCCACCCACTCGGGCGCCACAGCCGCTAAGCCTTCGCCTCGTCGTGGAAGTGCGGCACGGCGAGGATCTCATTCTCACCCAAGTCGCCGATCTGGTCAAGTTGCTGCTGCTGCAGCTGAACGCCGAGCGACAGATTGATGCGCGCGTTGCTTTCGCTCAGCAACGGCGGCGGCCGCAGACGCGACGGATCCAGCAGCGATTGCATCTTCGTCTGCTGCTTCTTCACCGGCGTCCGGCTGGGCGACGATTTGCGGCTGTTGCAGAAGTTCTTCATGGACTTTGCGCTGCAAACAAACAAAAAGCGTTCGTTTAATGCGCGATTGCGAAGAGAAAACCACGACGAAGAGCAACTCACGCGTCAATCAACTTCATCAGCATCCGATGGTAAGCCTCGTACTCCTCATTGCCGAACTCACTGGGATCGTGGCGAGCGTGTTCGTACCTGAAGACGGAGGAAAAGAACAAGAGAAAAGCTCAATAAATCGCAGTTAAATTTCACTCAATTGAAATCACTTCAATTTCCAACAGGAACACTTTTATACTCATTAAAAGAGCTAAAAAAAAAAGCTGATATTTTAGCTGAAAAGTGCTAAAAAGTCTGAGCTAAAATTTTAGCAGCAAATTTCAACAAATAAAAGCATTTCTTGAATTATTTCGACTAGTAAGATCAATTTTATTACTTTCTTTAAGCCAAAAAAAGCTGAAAAAACAGTTTTTTGCTGAAAAGTGCTAAAAAGTCTGAGCTAAAATTTCAGCAGCAAATTTCAATAAATAAAGGCATTTTTAAAAAGTATTTTGCTTAATAAAATCAATTTTTTTGCTTTCATTAAGCCAAAAAAACTAAGAAAAAAGCTGATATTTTAGCTGAAAAGTGCTAAAAAGTCTGAGCTAAGATTTTAGCAGCAAATATTTAGAATATTTGCATTGCAAAAGTTTCTGTTTCAGCAAATTTAGACATTTTCTGAATCATTTTGCTCAGAAAAATCAATTTTACTGGATTTTTGAGGTTATGTGATTGATTTAAAACCAATTTTAGCGATTAAAACACCTTCAAAATCATCAAAATTGTGTGTTATTCTAGAAGAATTTCTTTTTTCTTGGCAAAATTAAACATTTGTGTTCAAAATAGCTTCAAATTTGATGGGTAAAAGCTTAAAAGTCAATCATAACCTCAAAAAAACTTCATTTCAGTGAAGAAAAATGTCTTTTTGTATATTTTTTTCACGGTTAGACCTACAAATTGTCAAATTCAACGTCAATTTCTAATAGAAACCTTAAAATTTTCTGTAGTTACTTATTTTTCCAGGTTTGAAAAGATTGAAATTAGTCCATGAAGGATTTTTATAACCTCACAATTCAGTTAGAATTTTTCTATGCATTTTCCAAGGACAAAACTAGGAAAATATGACAGAAATTTGTCATTAATGAATCCTGGAAGAATAAAATCACTTCTTGTAGTTTGAAATCTAAGTATTTGAAGCGTTTTAACTTCTTCAGAGTGTGTTAAGTCAGAATTGAGTGTAAAAAACCGTTAAAAGTCTTTAAAAACTGATTCAAAATGCTCTTAAAGTGTCTAAAGTGTTAAATGTTAGTTTATTTCTATAAATTTTCTCAATTTCCGGTTTCCTGTGCCATATAAAAACATATGTTTGTGTCTTAAAACGTCTTAAAGTCCTTAAATCTCTCAATTTTGAGGTTATTTTCTTGGCTTTATTTATACAATTAACTTGAGTGTTGTTATCATGAAGTATATTATTGAAATGGCACGGTTTTACATGATGCGACATCTGTACATTTAAGTGGCGAATCAGTATTTTGTCTGGTCGCCGCTACGATCGCTACTGCATCAACCGAATTGCTGAGATTTGAGCGAAAGAAAGCTAACATTTTAGCTTTTTAAGTCCCAAGAGGCGCAAAAAGAGGGAATTCCGCCCTCCTTCAAGGTCTGGGCGGGCAGAGGAAGCTACTCACATGTCGCAGAACTGGTGGATGAGCCTCTGGCCGGAGCCGTTGAGCGCGGCGGCGAGTGTGGTGAGCAGGAAGGCCCTGAGATTCTCCCTGGGCTGGCGCACGCTGCCGTCCTGGCGCGCAATCTCGCGCTCCAGCACCTTCACGTCGTCCACGGCCTTGAGGCGGTAGTAGAAGGGCGGCAGCGGGCAGTCCGGCCGCAAGATGTAGCGATGATCGTCCAGGATCAGCTGTGGCTCGTGCGAGATCTTCTCGATGGCGTCAATGCGACGCTCAATCTCCTTCTTCATGTTCTTCCGGGCGTCGTGGCCGATGGGCACGTGCGGGCCGCGGCGTGAGCGCAGCGTGAAGCGCATAATCTGGCGCTTGGCGAAGATGAACAAGATGATGAAGGTGAGAACGCCTCCGCCAATAATTATCACCATCGTGACGCCCGAGAGCTCTTCCTTGTCCGCGGATTTCGCCATCTTCGGCTCGATCTCGATGAACTTATTCTCCACCGTGCGCTCCATGAGGATTCGTCGTCAGTTCCTGGGCTTTTCTGGACTTTTCCTGGATCTTTGGGATGTTTTCACTTCCCAGTCAAAACACTGCTTTGGAGACTTTTCCGCCGTCACTTTGACAACTCTCCAAAACCCATTAACTGACGTCCCGCGACTGGAACATGTCCATGGACGCATCCCCCAGTGTCCCAGGGACCTTCACTGTGACACGTCCCAAGAAATTATTTATTATTATTATTATTATTAGAGCAACAAAATTTAGGGCCTGACCCTCTTACAATTTGCTGATGATAGACAGAAGAAAAAATGGAAAAACAGAGATTAAGAATTGACAAAACAAAGAAAAGATTTCAAAATGTTTAGCTATAGATTATGATGGGTCACTGACCAGATCAGCAGCCTGAAAGTACTTCCTGATGCCCCCCACGGTCTCGCGCGCCTCACGCGGGAGGGCATTATAAAGCGAAACCCCCCGGACAAAGAGGGTACGAAAAAAAGTCTCGTCTCAGCTCGAGGAACAAGAAGTCCCCGGAACCTGGTCGAGCCCCACCCCTCGTCAAGAGTGAAGCCAGATATCCAGGGCAGCCGCTGATGGAAAGACGATCTAAGAAAATTAGGGCTCGCATTTGCAGGAAGGAGGACAGGCTGCAGCCCACCAACACATCCCTGTGGGCAGAAATGTGATCGCGGGGACCCAGTCCGCAGACGTACCTGACACAATTGTTAAATGCTACAGTCAGCCGACGGAGTGTGTCACTATCCGCCAGGAAGAATAGCTCTGCTCCATATGAGAAGAATGGCATAATTAGCGCTCGCACGAGAAGCAACCGAGTGTCGTAGGGCGTGATGTCCCGATAGCGTCTTAGGACGTAAAGAGAATAGTTGACCTTGCGGCAAAGGGAGGTGGCATGATCAGACCAGGATAGTGTCGAATTAAAGACAATACCAAGGTTTTTAACCTGATCCACATAAGAGATAACTTCACCGTTAAGAAGAACGGTGAAATAAGGAAAGTTAGCACTCCTTTTTGAGAAGATAATTGCCTGCGATTTTTTTTTAGGATTCAGTCGAAGCCCATTTGAAGAGGCCCAGTGCCCGATTCGGGAGAGGTTATCATTGAGAAGTTTGAAAGCACAGGAAGAGTTTGAAGGATCACCTTCAACGTAAATCTGGAGGTCGTCCGCATACAAATGATACGAGCAACCACGCAGAACAGAGGGCAGATCGTTAATGAACATGGAGAAGAGCAAAGGACCAAGAATGGATCCCGGACCAATGACCCTTCCTAGGGTAGAGAACGATCGCGGAAGTAGGATCGAACCAAGGCTATAGTCGAAGAAGAGAATTTAAAGTGCTTGAAAAGCTTGTAGCAAAAGAGATCATGATGGAGGCTGTCAAATGCCTTTGTGAAATCTAGTAAGACCAAAACAACAAAGGAATTGCGATCTAAAGCGGAAGCAATGTCATGGTTAACCTTCAGCAGAGCCGAAGTAGTTCCATGACCACCTCGGAAGCCAGACTGATGGTCGGAAAGTAAATTATGAGAGAGTAAATGACAGGAGATTTGTGAGTGAAGCAGAGCTTCAAAAGCCTTGGATAGAGTCGGAAGGAGACTTATTGGTCTGAAGTCAGAAGGAGCAGTGGGATTAGAGGTTTTCGGAATTGGAATGACGAAAAGCAAGCTTCCAAGTATCCGGAAACGAAGAAGTGGTAATGATATGATTAAAGGTCTCCGTGAGCACTGGGAGAAGAGTCGGGAGAATGATTTTAACGAAGGCAAGAGAGACGCCATCACACCCCACGGCACCCGACCGCACGCGGGAAATGGCACCCGCAACCGCCTCCACGGAGACGCAGCGAAAGCCAAAACCCTCCCAGGGCGCGGCAGGAAGAGCAGGACAGGTCACCTCATCGGCCAGAGCAACAGAGGCAAAGTAGTTGTTCAAGTCATCTGCCGAGAGAGTGACACCGACAGAAGCATTCACCGACGGACGCAGTCCAAGCTTCTTTATATTCCCCCAGAGCTTCTTAGGGGGCAAAGATGGATCTAGGTGTTGAGAAAAGTGAGATTTCTTGGCAGACCTTATTAAGGAGCAAACCTTATTTCTTAGGCGGCGGTATAAGGCACGGTCAGAGGAAGAACGACTGCGCTTCCACTTCTTATATGCATTGTTACGGCGTTTAATGAACAGCAGAATGTTGCTATTTATCCAGGGAGTCTGCAGCCCACGAACAATTTTACTGCTTTCTTTAGCATCCAAGCTGCTTCGGCAATTCAATTTCCGAATGTTTAGCAGACAAATCCTTCTAAACAATTAAAATACATTTTACCACCAAAACCCAATCCATTTCAGGAATTTTAATCCTAAAAATTAGAGAATATTGGCTTTTTTTCCTTTTGAATGCGAGAAATGGTCTCAAAGCCTTGAAATTGATATTAAAACTTTGATTTCCTCGTCCGGGAACAAGGGAAAAAACAGAATCAAAATCTCTGCAGCATTAAGTCAGCTCATTAACAGCAATTGCCATTGATCCAGAGAAAAAAAATGAGGAAAGTAGATTTTCTGTCCGGAATCTCGAACTGAGGCATAGCAAAGCATCTTTAACATATTTTGCGCAGAGAAATGAAAGATTCTTGTGTTTAAAAGCATTTAGAGATAATATATAAATATTTCTAGATGTTTATTGTCCTCTATGAGACTAAAAACCATGAAAAACTCAAGAAAAAAACTGGAAAAAATCTCTAAAAAATTATGGAGAGATCGAATTGTGGTGTCTTAATTTGAATGTCTTGCAAGTCCTTATCGACGGGTGCCTCGAAAACTATAAAAAGTCAAAATTGCCATTTTTCAGCAAAGCGAGTTCAAAATTTTGGCATTAAAACAGCTGCGAAATTTGCCAAATTTACTTCAAAATACTCAAAATGCCTTCAAATCGTTCGTTAAAGTCAAAATATTGCTCTGTATTTTTTATTTTGTAAATGTTTTATTGGTATTTATTGAAATTTTTCACTAAAATGTGTTAAAAGTAATAAAAAAACTGAAAATATTACTTTTCAAAGTCAATTTTTAATGGTTTTTGAGTCGATTTTATATAAAAAAAAACAACTTTTCATACTTCAAATGAACTTTTTCTTAATGTTTTCAAGTGAAAAAATTTAAAAGATATGAAAAATATTCATTTAAAGTCTAAAGAATATTTTAGAATAATTCTGAAAATCTACAAATATTTTCTAAAAACGCGTTTTATGCGTTTGACTGCAATTTTTGAGACATTTTTCTTGGAAAAATTGTACAGCGTAAATAATGAAAATTTGACTTTTCATTCGCAAAACATGGCAATTTTATTTCCATTTGTGCTTTTTAGATAAATAAGATTTTTTTCTATTGTCTCATAAGATAGAAATCTTAAAATTCTTGTACAGAAAGAACAAATAAAAGACTTTTCAAAAATATCATAAGACGAAAACTATGATAAATCGACTTTTCATAGTTTTCCATTCACCCGTCGATATGGCAAAGGAAACCGGAAATTGAGAAAATTGATAGAAATAAACTAACATTTAACACTTCAGACACTTTAAGGGCATTTTGAATCAGTTTTTAAAGACTTTTAACGGTTTTTTACACTCAATTCTGACTTAACACACTCTGAAGACGTTAAAACGCTTCAAATACTTAGATTTCAAACTACAAGAAGTGATTTTATTCTTCCAGGATTCATTAATGACAAATTTCTGTCATATTTTCCTAGTTTTGTCCTTGGAAAATACTTAGAAAAATTCTAACTAAATTGTAAGGGTTTAAAAATCCTTCTTGGACTAATTTTAATCTTTTCACACCTGTGAAAATAAGTAACTACAGAAAATTTTAAGGTTTCTATTAGAAATTGACGTTGAATTTGACAATTTGAAGGTCAAACCGCGAAAAAAAATACACAAAAAGACATTTTTCTTCACTGAAATGAAGTTCTTTTGAGGTTATGATTGACTTTCAAGCTTTTTCCCATCAAGTATGAAGTTATTTTGAACACAAATACTCAATTTTACCAAGAAAAAAAGAAATTCTTCTAGAATAACACACAATTTTCATGATTTTGAGGGTTTTTTAATCACTAAAATTGGTTTTAAATCAATCACATAACCTCAAAAATCCAGTAAAATTGATTTTTCTGAGCAAAATGATTCAGAAAATGTCTAAATTTGTTGAAACAGAAACTTTTGCAATGCAAATATTCTAAATATTTGCTACTGAGATTTTAACTCAGACTTTTTAGCACTTTTCAGCTAAAATATCAGCTTTTTTCTTAGCTTTTTTGGCTTAATGAAAGCAAAAAAATTGATTTTATTGAGCAAAATACTTTTTAAAAATGCCTTTATTTGTTGAAATTTGCTGCTGAAATTTTAGCTCAGACTTTTTAGCACTTTTCAGCTAAAATATCAGCTTTTTGACCTAATAAAAGTAATAAAATTGATTTTATTAAGCAAAATGATTATTTAACTGCCAATTATTGGAATAACCCGGTGAGTTTTATGTCCCACACTCTGTCCCACAAGTCTGCAGACACTTCTTACTTTGCCGATGAATTCTGGACATTCTTTTGCAGGTCTTTTGACAGATTTGAAGTGTGTTTTGGTGGTTTTCGCGAGGAATACAAGAGTTTCTGGACGTGAAAATGAGTGCCAAAGAGCTCCAGGATGAGGAAGCTGAGGCTCTACTCTCAATCTATGAGACTGATCATGCTTTCAAGCAGATCAATCCAACGACATATCAGTATAAGGTGAGATGACACTTTCTTTTGAGGGATTTTCAGGCATTTTTGCGGCTTTTCCGGCTAAATTTTGTGTGTGTTTTTTTCTTCTTCAGTATGGCGAGGAGGACACGAGCAATTCCTTCCTGGTGGAGTTAGTGTGGACGACAGAGTATCCAAATGAGGCGCCACAGATGAATCTGGACACATTCTACAATCGGAATCTGGTGGCGTGCGTGAAGGAGAACATCTTGAAGGTGCTGACGGAAGAGGCGCAGCAGTGGCTGGGCTGTGGCATGACTTACACGCTGTTTGAGTGTCTGAAGGAGCGCACGGCGGAGCTGACGGCTGCCCAGCCGGAGATCACGCAGCGCCAGAGTGTGGCGGAAGTGACGGAGGAAGTGGAGAGACTGGAAGTGACGAAGGCGCCCAAGAAGGAACATCTGACGAAGGCACAGAAGCGCCGACAGTGGGAGAGAACAGATCACAAGGGTGATCGTCCGCGGGGGTGGAATTGGGTGGACATCATTCGTCATCTGTCGCAAACTGGAGGGAAATCTCAAGACACCAATCCTCAAACGTAGACTTCGTCGTTGCAACTTTGCGTTCATACCATTTATAATAAGCTGTAATAAATATGATTTCAAGGTTACGATTTGTATATTAGGGGAGAGCCAATTAAAATATTCCAATATTTTTCTCACATATTTAGGATATGTTTTGACATAATAGGCTCTGTGAAAAATCTAAGTGGTTTTTGCAGACAAAATATTAACGTCATGCAAAAGAAATGGGATAGATTGAGACAAAGTGAATTTCAAGTCAGTCATCATCAGTCAATATCATGAAAAAGTAAGATATTTGTCAATTTTAGAAATCCAAAGAAATGATTTTCTATTGCCCTTGAATTGTTATTAATGTCTTTGTTTTGCTAATACAGCTCAAATCATGAGAAAATACAAGAATAAAACCCCGGGAAGAAGATCACTCTTCACAACATTGAAAGAATATCTGCAGAGGCAGTGGATAAAGAGTTTCACAGCCAAAAATATCCAATCTGGCTTTCTTAAAGTAGGGTTTCAATCCCTTTGATAAAACATCATTGTATAATGAGTTTAATGATAATGCTGGCAAATAAGACTTCTTCAGATCTTTCAAGGAATCTGCCTCAAGATCAGATCATGCAGATTTCATGCAGAGATTGTTCAACCACTTCCTGTAATTGAAAATGTTGAGAAAAGAAGTAAGGGTGCAAAACAGACGTTAAAGATCTGCCAATTTAAAAAGTTCTCCAGGGAAAGAGAAAAGGGAGGAGAAGAGATCAAAAACTGTTGAAGTCACGAAGAAAAGAAGAAAGAAGGAGAAGAATTGAAGTTTGAATTTTTTAAAAATAAAGTTTGGCTGTAAAATTTTGCTTAATTTATTGATTAATGAGACTAAAAATATATTGAAGGGGGTTTAGGACTATTGTCCTCTCTTCCTTCCCTCGATGGCTCAAGGAAGAGCTTTGGCGACGATGAAAGTGTAGGTAGGAGATCTCGTGGGACTGAGCGAGCGCTGCCAGCTCAAGTCGAACGAGATATATGGAGAAGGGAATTTGGATGGCGAGTCTTATTGCTTGAGAATTCTTAGTCTTGCAGCATCACCTACTTGTAGGTTTATATGCTCCTCCGCAGAGTGACAAGGCTAAGACTGCTGCTGAATAATTACTGGTTTATTCATTGTAATTGCCTTAATTTATATGGTGAAAATTGGCACGGCCCAATTGAGTGTTTTTCCGGGTGCACCTTTGAGGGGCGAAAATTGTCAACTTATCGCGGCACTGCCGGATTGCTCAATTGAATCGTCAGCACAATTTTTAGGTATTATTGTGCATTTGTTAGTCTGAATTGAATTATTCTAGATGAAAGATTAGTGTTTTAGTTTAATTACTTATTTTAATGCTTCTTATTTCTACGCATGTTCACATCTGTGAACATACAGTAGCGAAAATTAGATTAGGACACCTATGAAATTTAGGTCATTTTCCTTTTGGTGCTCAAAATTCTGTGTTTCTTTCAATTTTTGAGACAATTTCATACAGACAAAAGATAATCAGAATTTAATGATCTTTCAAATGGCGTTGAGATCATGGCGATATCTCAATTCGAACCCGAGATATTGCAAAATGCAGAAAGATGTGCGCAAAAGGACAGCGAAAATTAAGTTAAGACACTGCTTAGCCTGCTCTAAATCCTTGTAAAAAAAACATGAAAATTACTGGGATAACCACATTAAATCATGAGTTTGGAATGTTTAGAAGACATTTACATTATAGAATGCCTTGATTTGCACTTGTTAAATTGCTTTTTGTATGTTTTTAGCTTCCTTTTTAACGCTTTTGTACAATTTTTTCAATTTCTTACGCACAATCGTGGCCAAATTCTTGTTCACAAGTTTTCTATAAAGTTTAGAATAGGAGGTTAAGTTAATCGTTCAAGAACGATCATGTAATCGTGAAAATTGCAGCATTTTACTCTTAAGAAAGTGTTGATTTTTAGTCAATTTCTTATTATTATGTCCAGAAAATCGGTAATTTCTTATCGATGCATGGCAGGAAAATGGTGAAGAAAGTAAGAAAATCGCATGTTTAACAACTGCTGAAGTTCTGGGAAGTTTCTGTAATTCTTCATAGAAATTATGAAAGTGTTGAACACAATTTAGCCATATAATCTCTCCCTTGATCGATATATCGGGAAATTGATCGTGTTTTCCAAAAGGATATTGTCAAAGGATCTCCACAAACACCAGAAAAAAACGTCAGAAAGAGAAGATCAATGTCGTTGAATGGATGATAATTGCATTGATATGCATTTGCTTGGCAGTGTGATTGACCTGCATGAGCACGAATTGGGGAAATATGCTCATTAATTGCTTACAATCTACAAGTTAATCACAACATCCTCTTCATTGTCGCACAATCGTGGCAGCAAAACACAGCATCGACACTTACGTAAATGACTCTTTCTGATAAATCCATGTCGTGCGATTGCTCTAAAGGAAAAAACACACACACACACACACACACACATTTCGTGAGCTGCCTCATGAGGGTCTCCTGTATCTTAGGCTCCTCTTCAACGCTATGTTGCGCCTAGAATATGTGACCGTGCAGCTCAAAGTGACCGAGGTCGTCATGTGTGCCAAGCCGGGCAAGCCCCCAGAGGTATGCTCATCTTATCGCCCGGAAGACAGGAAGTGCAATAATTGTGAAGGAGCCCATTGTGCAAGTTACAAGGGCTGTCCAGTGTTCAAGGAGTTCTACGAGCGAGTGAATCCCAAGCAGAGGCGAGAGTTCCTTTACAACAAGAACTTACAGCAATCAAGAGGATCGAGCCAGCGATTCAACTCAAATGTGAGTAAAAGCAATTATAATCCAAGGGTGCACAACTCACAATATACGTCCTTCGCTGAGGCAATCAAGGGCGCGAATGGTGGTGATAATCCCATGCGACGTGCCGATATCATTGTCCCCCAAAAACGCTGAGGGCAGCGAAGTCATTCAGCTAATGATTCTCATGCAGCAAAACATGAATACTCTTCAGCTGCAAATGAATGAGATAATTAAGAAACACACCGCGATGGAAAAGAGTGTTGCGACACTCTCTAGACACATTGAAGTCTTACTTAGTAAGAAATAACTTCAGCTTCGGCTGCCCATCACTATCCAAAATGAATAACCTCAAAATCGGAGTTTGGAATGCGAATGGGCTTAGCCAACACAAATTGGAGCTCCAAAAGTTCCTTCAGGAGCAAAACATTGATTTGATGGTTATCTCCGAAACACATTTTACATCAAAGAATTTCTTTGCTATTCGTGTCTTCATCACTTATGACACTAAACACCCAGACGACAAGGCTCACGGGGGCACGGCAATACTGGTGCGACGTGGAATTGGGCATTGCGAACTGGCCAAATGGGCTCGCAAAGATATCCAGGCAATGAGTGTTGAAGTGCAAACGAACGGGGGTGCTTTCACATTGGCGGCTGTGTACTGCCCTCCGAGATTTGCTGTAAAAGAGGAGGGATTCACTGAGTTCTTTTCGTCCCTGGGCGATCGGCGATCGGACCTGGCAAGCCCGGAAAAGATGAAACTCTAGCGAGCTCTTATCGTCCGATCAGTCTTCTGCCGGTGTTATCGAAGATTTGTGAGAAACTCATCCTCCTGAAGCTGACTCCCTTTCTTGAGAGAAAGGGGGTGATCCCTGACCACCAGTTTGGCTGCCGCCGAAGCCACTCTACTGTTGAGCAGGTCAATAGAATATCTTCTGAGGTGCAAAAGGCGCTTGATGGCAAAATGTACTGCTCGGCGGTCTTCCTGGACATTGCACAGGCCTTTGATAAGGTGTGGCACGATGGCCTGCTGTACAAACTCAAGAGGCTCTTTCCACACCAGCTCTTCGAAATCCTCAAATCATACCTGGAGAATAGGACATTCTGCGTGAAGTGCGATGATGCTGCCTCCGAGCTCAAACCAATCTTATCTGGAGTTCCCCAGGGTAGTGTACTTGGACCTCTACTATATGCCCTGTATACAGCGGATATCCCCGTACTGGATGGGAATATAATTGCTACCTATGCAGACGACACACTTCACGATGGCGTGCCATGAGGATCCAGCGACTGCTTCCCGCATGTTACAATCGGGAATTTCTGAAGTTGAATCTTGGCTTGGTCGATGGAGGGTGAAAGTGTCACTACCAGGCGTGGGTTCTGCTCGCCTGTCACGCTGAATGGCACACCTGTTCCTATCCACGAGAGCGTTAAATACCTAGGAATGCATCTGGACAAGCGTCTCACCTGGCGCACGCACATAATGGCAAAACGATGTCAAAACTAGGACTAAAATTCCGCAAGCTCTACTGGCTAATTGGCCGCAGATCAAACCTCTCTTTGGAGAGTAAGATCCTGCTCTACAAAGCCATGGCTAAAGCCCATGTGGACGTATGGCATTCAACTCTGGGGCACTGCCTCTCACTCCAACATTGAAATCATTCAGCGGTTTCAAAACAAAGCCCTGCGATGCCTTGTGGACGCTCCTTGGTTTGTGCCCAACGATCTCCATGCAGGAGGACTTACTGATTCCCACTGTGAAGGAGGTCATCGAGGAGTTTTGCCGCAAGTATGGAGAGAGGCTGGATGTAGGCTCAAAAGATGTAGACGTCCTAGAGTCAACTTGTGATTCTCATTGTTTTTTTTTTATTTTGTTACTTATTCCGTGATGTCTTAATGTCGTGAAGGCCAATTATTTGGAAGGATCTAGTCCACTGGGACTAGGATCCTGCATGTCTATATCAATCTGACGCCAAAATCTGCTGGATGTAACATCGTTACAGTTGCGATAATTAAATAGGAGTTGAACAAAAAAAAACACACACAAACGATTTTCCCGCGCTCTCTTTCCACCCAACTTTCTGCACTTCTCCCTCTGGCGGATGCAAAAGGAAACACAGGACTGGTGAAGGCAAAAAAAAATGGTTTGATATTTGATGTTAATGAAAAAGTAGTTTTATTTTTGTTATCTCAATTCTTCATTAGATTCTGTTTTATACAATAATATTTTGTATATTCTCTCGCTGCCCCTAAAAGTATACAATTGTTGTTGTTTTTTTTCTTTTACGTACTGCTTTTGCTGCTGCCAAAGGGAACATTATTTTGAATTATACAAAACATTGTGTAAAAGTGCGTGAATTCTATGAGTAACAATACTGAACAGAGATTTTTGCTTCATTTACAGATTGCGAAATGCACCAATTGAGGGGAATTTTCCCAACATGGAAAGTCACAAGGTTGATTTTAAAAACAATTTCAAAATAATCTAAAATTAAAATGTTTGTTTTCGGGCAAAATAGGCCAAAATATATTCATCATTTGTGTTTCAAATGTTTTCTCTCCACAAAATTGACACCAGATGGCAGGAAAGATGGCGTGGGGGACGCGCTAAACCATATTGTTATTTGTGACTTTTTCCCTGTTTTTTTTTCCCCCTGTTTTCTCTGACATTTATTGCCCTCTGAGTGACAATTTGTGGAGGAAAATAATCCAAAATATGTGATCTCAAGTGACTTTTCCCAAATGTTGGATTTTTCTATGTTTTTTTTCTATATCCTTAGCAATGATTTCGTTATAAATACTGATTTTAAAAAATAAACAGAATTGTTCATTTCTAAAAAAAATCTAAATGCAATGATTATTAATATTTAGAGTTTAAAATTCTAAGAGTAAACAAATATTGTTCTTTTCTTATTTCTACTTGCTTTTTTTTTTGTTCTCCCAAAATCCTACCATAAATTCTAAGGGATGTTAAAGAAGACGACGAAGAAGGAAGAAAAAAATTATCTCTACAAACTATAAGTAAAAGTCACTAATAAGTAGGAAGGAATAGAAAATCTCTCTCATGAGATAACAAAAAAAAAATTCTTGGTGTGTTTTCTTTGACATTTGGCAAAATAGATATATACAGTAGCGAAAGTTAGGTTAGGACACCTATGAAATTTGGGCCATTTTTACATTTTTGATGCAAAAATTCCATATTTTCATTGATTCATCAAAATTGTCCAGAAATGTCACTCAACGATGTCCAATACGAACTTTACACAAAACCAAGTTAACTAAGGTGTTTTCTAAGACATTTGATTGATCCTTATGGTGAAAACACAGCTTTTGTCATTGGCAAGGGGAAAATCACTGGCGCAAGTTGAGACCATTAACTTTGTGATTATTCAATCTTTGATTTAAAATTGATTATTTTTTGAATATTTTTTGATTATTTTCTCAATTTTTTATTAAAAATTCTGTATTTCATACAAATTCTGATTATTTTTTATTATTTTCCGGAATATTTAATCAAATTTTGAATATACTTGAATATAATTGTAAATATTCGGAATATTTTGATTAATTAATTGAAAATAATTTATTTTTATTCATAATTTATTTCAGAATTTCATTATTGAGATTTTTATGTATAATTTTACTTGGGATTTGTTTTTTTTCTTTGGGATATTTTATTCAAAATATGATTATTTTTCAATTTTTGTTTGAAAAAAATTCATTTTTTGATTATTTTATTCAGAATTTGGGTTTTTTGATTTTTTGTAACTTTTTTTCCAAAAATTTTTCAATTTTTGTTTGAAAAAATATTCATTTTTTGATTATTTTATTCAGAATTTGGTTATTTTGTTTTTTTTTTGTTATTTTACTGTGGGAAAATAATCTTTTCTTTGATTATGTATTCAAAATTAGATTTTTTTTTCAATTTTAGTTGAGAAAATAATCTTTTTTTTATTATTGAAATCATAATTTGATTATTTTTCAATTGTTTTTTTTCAATTATACTTGGGAGAATAATCATTTTTTAAATTATCTTATTCAAAATTTGATTATTTTTCAATTTTACTTGGGAAAATAATCATTTTTTCATTATTTTACTCAAATAATTAATTATTCGATTAGAGAACATTAAGTTTCCTCAAAAATCGCCTTGTGATTTGCCCCTTGGTCATTGGACAATTGTTTTAGTTCATCTCTTTCTTCCCCACGCGAATCGTGTTATTTTCATTCCTGCTCACGACATTTCTATGTTGAGTGTGTGCCTGCAGATTTTACATTGGGCAACCCGCGCTGAATTTGACTTTGACGTGTCTGACAATGCGTTTGCTGTCAAAATGGTCAAAATAAACAAATTTCTTATGGAAAATCGAGAAAATCGTCAATGAAATGAATTTAAGTGTGGAAAAAACTCAAAAATTAATTGATTTCGTCCATAATGAGCCATAATTGTGGAGAAAATCAGATTGTTTGAAGGCGCCAAAAGTTGATCTGCAGACCAAAATTCTAAAGGGAATCTGACGGGACTGAGCCGAGATAATATGAACAAAATACTGTGTTTTCACTATAAATAACATGCAAACGTAATTAGAACCATTTTCCTGTCATGCATCGATAAGAAATTACAGATTTTCTGGACATTATAATAAGAAATTGACTAAAAATCAACACTTTCTTAAGAGTAAAATGTTGTAATTTTCACATCTACATGATTATTCCTAGGCGATTAACTTAACCTCTTATTCCAAAACTTCATAGAAAACCTGTAAACAAGATTTGGTCTGCGCTTGAGCGGGAGAAATCGAAGAAATTGATAGAAAAGCGTTAAACATTAGCTAAAAAACATACAAAAAGCAATTTAACAAGTGCAAATCAAGACGTTCTATAATGTAAATGTCTTCTAAACATTCCAAACTCATGATTTAATGTGATTATCTCAGTAATTTTCATGTTTTTTACAAGGATTTAGAGCAGGCTAAACAGTGTCTTAACTTAATTTTCGCTGTCCTTTTGCGCACATCTTTCTGCATTTTGCAATATCTCGGGTTCGAATTGAGATATCGTCATGATCTCAACGCCTTTTGAAAGATCATTAAATTCTGATTATCTTTTGTCTGAAGGTAGTTGTCTCGAAAATTGAAAGAAATACCGAATTTTGAGCACCAAAAGGAAAAATGGCCTAAATTTCATAGGTGTCCTAACTTAATTTTCGCTACTGTATATATATATATATAAGAAGATGAGAAGAGAAATTATGCCTGTCTGTGCGTAATTTACATGTTAGAATTCATATTTTTTTTCCTTGTTTTTCTGTTGAATTAAACTAATTAACATCCAATTTGATCGAAATATAATTTAATTGTTTATAATATTAACACAAATACAATAAAAAATCTGAGTACATTTGGCCATAAATATAGTGTTTTACGGTGAAGGGGGGGGGGGGAATTATTTATAGTTTCATTTCAATTGCACATGCCTATTTTGATGTCCTTTTTTTCTTTTTAATTTCCATCTTAATGCACCAAAAACTATTCAAAATAAAATATATGAGATGTGTGAACTTCAGTGGTGTTTCTGTGTGTATTTTTCCTGGCGGTGTGTGTCTTCATGAAAGAGAAAATGGCACTGAGACAGATTCAACAAATTCTGTCTTATATGTTCGCTTCCTATCTGCGACGTTGAGAATGGCAATTTGTTGGTCTTCAGGAGGAATTGTCGGGTGTCTTTCGCTGCCCAAGTTCCCTGCATCGATAAACGTAGGCGCTCACGGACAGATCATCGTCCGTGCGCACGCACTGCTTGTGCTCTTCGCACACGCACGTGTTCTTCATGAAGTAGTCCACTTGTCGCGTGAATGGCGTGTAAATTCCCCAGCCGCACGGTGAATTGTTCTGACAGATCTTCACCTTTGGCGCTTCGCTCTCGGCCACGGCTCTCTGGAAAGGGGAAAGAAAAAAGGGTATTTTTGGAGATTTTACAGGGAATCATTTCAAAATTGAGACTTTAAAAGCAAATTTTTTAGCTTTCTTTTGCTTAACATTCAGTCATTAAGTAGCAACCAAGGGGAAAATCACTCCGCAAGTTGAGACCATTAACTTTGTGAGATTATTCAATCTTTTTCCTCGATTATTTGTGATTTTAATTCAAATTTTGATTATTTCGTACAAAATTTTGATAATTTTTTGATTATTATTTTCTGAACTCTTTTTCAAAATTTGATTATTTCACACAAATTCTGATTATTTCTTTTTAATTATTTGTTATTTTGATTCATATTTTGATTTTTTTTTCTACTTTACTTGAGAAAAATTTTTTTTTTTAATATTTAGTTCAGAATGTGATTATTTTGATTTTTATTAGTTATTTTACTTTGGGAAATATATTTTTTTTAAATTATTTTATTCAATATTTGATTATTTTACAATTTTAATTTTTGACAACATTCATTTTTTGATTATTGTTTCTTCAAAATTTGGTTATTTTGATTTTTTGTAATTTTTTTTTGGGAAATAATACTTTTTTCCCATTTTATTTGAGAAAATATTATTTTTTGACTATTTTATTCAGAATTTGGTTATTTTGTTTTTTTGTGATTTTAAATCAGGATAATAATTTTTTTTATTACATTTCTAATAAAATAAATTAAATTATTAAATTCAATTTCTAATGTAATTTTTTCTTATTAAAAATAAGATTTTTTCTTCAATTTTAGTTGAGAAAATAATCTTTTTTTTTTTATTATTTAAACCATAATTTGATTATTTTTCAATTTTACTTGGGAAAATAATCATTTTTTGATTATTTTACTCAAATAATTAATTATTTGATTAGAGAACATTAAGTTTCCTCAAAAATCGCCTTGTGATTTGCCCCTTGGTAGCAACAATCAATAAAAGTATTGATTGTAAGCAATTCTGTTTCAATATTTGAGGTTATGATTGAAAAAGATGTTGAAAAATACGTTTTTAAATCACTTTTTAATCACTACAGAAAAATCAAACGGAACAAGAGTTGCTCAAGTTGAAGAATGGACGAATCACACTCTTTTTTGACTAATTTTAATACTTTAGAATCTGAAAATGCGTAAATCAAACGAATATTATCAATAATTCTGTAAGATAATTAGATTTTATTTCCCTCTTTAAGAAACAATCCGCCGAAATAACTAAAAAAATAGACATTCTTCGTGACTGAAATGATATTTTTGAGGTTATGTTAGAGTTTACGGATTTTTTCTCAATCAATATGAAGTTTTTTTTGGAACACAAATGCTCAACTTTGACGTAGAAAGAGAGAAATATTTCCAGGATTTAACATAAAGTTGATCATTTTGAGGGTTATTTAATCATAAACATAACCTATAAAAGCAATAAAAACGATTTTTCTAAGCAAAATCACATAAAAATGTAAGAATTTGTTGAAAAAGTAACTTTTGCAGTGTATATAATAATATTTTCCCTTCGGAATTTGATTATTAAGATTTTCTTTGCAATTCTTTTTGAGAAAATAATCTTTTTGTGATTATTTAATTCAAAATTTGACTATTTTTCAATTTTACTTGGGAAAACAATCTTTTTTTCAATTATTTTATTGAAAATTTGATTATTAAGATTAGATTAGATTTATTTATGTCACAGTCCCTTTCTTGCGGCCATCGCCGTCTTAGCATTGGTGACCAGCCTCCAGGACAAAATGTTTTTTCAATTTTACTTGGGAAAATAATCATTTTTTGATTATTTTACTCAATTAATTGATTATTTGACTAGAAAACATTGAGTTTCCTCAAAAATCGCCTTGAGATTTGCTCAAGTGACACTTCAGCAGGAATATCAAGGAATGAAAGAATCGATGAGAATGACAGGAATGGATAAAATTCTTGACAGAATAAAGCATCAAAAAAAAAACTGAAGGAATACGCAGAATATGTTGTAAATATTCCGTTTTCCTGTCAGAATAAAAGATTTTCTACTAAAATCTCGCATTTTCGCGCCATTTTCCCTTCCATTTTCACACATTTCTCTGTGATTTCCTAAAAACTTTCAAAGTTTTACAAGCATTTTCGAACATTTAGACTAACTTCAAGCCCCCAAATAAAGATTAAAGCTTTAAAAAGAATGTTAGGAGTAAGAATTTAGTGAAAGAAAAGCAATTTCGGCCCATCAAATTGCGTTATTGGAGATAATTCTTGAAGAAATTGAGGAAAAATGCTTGAAAAAGGCAAGAAAAGTAGCGAAAAAAGCGCGAATTGAAAGAGAATCGAACCCGCGACACTTTAAGATCTCGATTTTCGCTGGAATTTGTGCAAAAATCTTTCTCTCAAAGACGATTTTGCATACATTCAATGTCAAATAAGTCTCAAAGGGAAAGAATATTCCGAAGAATTGATGGAATGGATTGGAATAGATCGAATGGAAAGGAATGGAAATCACTTTTCACCCACTTGAGCAACCCTTGGAACGGAAACATAAGAGATTCATTATAATTCAAGTGTTTGGAAGTTGTGTACAGTTTTTAAACACATTATCTCCCCCTTGGAAGCAATGAATTTAGATGAATACTAAGAAAATTGATCGAAATTAGCTGAATGAAGTGAAAAAAATTACTTAATATTTTATATTTTAGCACTTTTTAGCATTTGTGATTTGCTAAGAATCTTATTAAACTGTCTTAATTGCCAAGAAAGACAAGAATTTCTGTCTTATTTGTCGACTTTTCTGCCTACACCACTGCGTGAAACCATTGGAAATCCCTAAAGTGAATTGAATTGTCGCCAAAGGTCAAGAACCGGACAAAATTTCGAGTGTTTTCTTATGGGAAATATCAACAACAAGATTAACATAAATTATGTTGGGTTTTTCCGCGCACATTCACACATTGAAGGCGTGCGCGCGCGATGTGTGAAAATTATATTGACATGAATTAATTGAGAAAGATGAGGTCTTGTGGAAAACAAGGTCTTTTATCTGTAACATCACTTCTTAACACTTCTACACTTTTTGTGCGCACTGAAAGTGCGTGAAAAGACGCATTTTTCTTCTTTCTTGAACAAAATTTCCCTCTCAAGAAGTGGAAGTGTTCAGAAATCCTTCAATCTTCCTTTCCAGCGTGCTTCTTTTTACTGACTAATCATCTTGATTCTTTGGATTTCCCGGATTTCCTTTGAATTGCACGAAGAAACAATAATTTTCTAGGTTATGTGGATAAATCATGGACAAATTTAGTGAATATTTCACATTCTAGAACATCAATTCTTATGCTAAATTCGCCTAGATTGCTAATCATTGGCATAATTAAGCATTTCCATGCGATAAACATTGATATTCTGAACCTTTGATGCCAAAAAACACGGAAAATTGTATTCAAATCCAACATAACCTCAAAAATAGTCATTTGAACTTGGAAAATGTTTATTTAGACCATTTTCTGCACAATTTTATCATCTAAAAAGCTTCCAATTGAAGTCTTTTAGCATCTTTTGGTGATATTTTTGAGGTTATGTTCGCAAAAGACGCTGAAAAAAGTGGTTTTAAATGAATTCTTAGACAAATATGGAATGGAAACTCAATACAACACAATCTTCCTCTTGAATTGAACTCATTTCATGCCGAGAAAAGCCTCAAATTGTGTTTTATCAAACATAACCTCAAAAATTATCATCGTTTTGGACAATTTTGACATAAATTTGCATAAATTCTGCTATTGCTTGGCAGAATTAGGCATTTGTAAGTAAAACTGAAAAATAATCCAATTATGATTTTAATAATGAAAAGAAGATTATTTTCCCGCAGTTAAATCACAAAGAAAAATCTAAATATTATCAAATTCTGGAATTAAATAGTCTAAAAATGAATATTTTCTTAAATAAAATTAAAAAATAATTGAAAAAAAATTTTATTTTCCCAAATAAAATGACGAAAAAATCAAAAAAACAAATATTGAATGAAGAAAATTAAAAAATGAATATTTTCTCAAGAAAATTTTGAAAAATAATCATATTTTGAATTAAATAATCAAAAAATTGATTATATTTTCGAAAGAAAAGTTAAGAAAGCAAACAAATTTTGAATGACATAATAAAAAAAATAAATATTTTCCAACGTAAAATTGAGAAATAATCAAATTCTAAATAAAATACAAAAAAAAAATTTTTTTTTAATCAATAATCAATCAATTAATCAGAATATTCCCGAATATTCACAATTATTCAATTATATTCAAAATTTGATTACAGAAAAAATTTATATTCAGAAAATAATAAAAAAAAAATTAGTGAGAATCTTGTACGAAATAATAAATTTTTGAATCAAATATTCAGGAAATAATTAAAAAAAATTAAAAAATAATCAAATTCTTATCAAGTATTCGGAAAATAATCAAAAAATGATCAGAATTTTCTACAAAATAATCAAAAATTTGTATAAAATAAATAAATTTTTTAAAGAAATATTTAGAAATCAATATAAAAAAATGTACAAAAAATCAAAATTTGTATAAAATAATTAATTTTTAATGAAATAATCAAGAAATAATAGAGAAATATTTAAAAAAAAAATCAAATTTTAATGAAATATTGAGAAAATAATCAAAATTTGAGTAAAAATCACGAAATAATCGAGGAAAAAGATTGAATAATCACAAAGTTAATGGTCTCAATTTGCACTAGTGATTAGCCCCTTGGGCGTAAACTATCAAAAGTCGACTTTTCATACTTTTCAACGCAACATTGAGAAATTTTTTAAGAAAAATCGTATTTCTTTAATTTTTGCCGATGAAAGACATTAAGATCAATCCAAACAGACTTTCAATAGTCTTCACGGAACCCGTCGTAAATGTGTATTGATTTAGGGCAACTCTCTGTTGACCCTGAATTCGTCTTTTTTCTTTTTTGCCTGTGTTCGTCGTGAGGATGTGTTTTCCATGAGTGGAATTTTCAACC